ACTTGGTCGTGGTGAATTATCTTATGGATACATTGTTGGATTCTGATAGCTAAAATTTTATTGAGGATTTTTGCATCAGTGTTCATTAGGGAGATTGGCCTGTAGTTTTCCTTTTTTGTGTTGTCCTTGTTCGGTTTTGGTATTAGTGTAATGTTGGCTTCATAGAACGTGTTTGGTATTGTCCCTTCCTTCTCAATTTTTTGGAAGAGTTTGTGAAGGATAGGCACTAATTCGTCTCTGAATGTTTGGTAGAATTCATTTGTAAATCCATCAGGTCCTGGGCTTTTGTTTTTGGGGAGGTTTTTGATTACCATTTCAATTTCTTTGCTTGTAATTGGTCTGTTTAGGTGTTCTATTTCTTCTTTATCTAGCTTTGGGTGATTGTAGAGTTGTAGGAATTTGTCCATCTCCTCTAGATTATTGAACTTGTTTCCATATAACTGTTCATCTTAGTTACTGATTATTCTTTTGATTTCTGCTGTGTCCATTGTGATTTCTCCTCTTTCATTTATGATCCTGTTTATTTGTGCTTTCTCCCTTTTTTCCTTTGTGAGCCCGACTAGGGGTTTGTCTATTTTATGGATTTTTTCAAAGAACCAGCTCTTGGTTTCATTGATCTTTTGGAGTGTTTTTTTAGTTTCAATTTCATTTATTTCTGCTTTGGTTTTTATTATTTATTTTCTTCTACTGGTTTTGGGGTTTTTTTTGTTGTTCTTTTTCTAGATCTTTGAGCTTCGAGATTAGGTTGTTTCTTTGAGTTCTTTATTGTTTCTTGATGTGAGCTTCTATTGCTATATATTTTCCTCTTATTACTGCTTTTGCTGCATCCCATACATTTAGGATATTGGTGTCCTCCTTGTCATTCAATTCAAAGAATTTTTTAATTTTTTCTTTGATCTCCTCATTAGTCCAGTGGTCTTCCAGGAGTGTGGTTTTTAATCTCCATGAGGTAGGAAAGTTCCTTGCCTTCTTTTTATGGTTTATTTCTAGTTTGATGCCTTCATGGTCAGAAAAGATGGTTGGTATGATTTCAATCTTGTTGTATCTGTTGATGTTTGTCTTGTGCCCCAGTATGTGATCGATCCTGGAGAATGATCCGTGTGCGCTTGAGAAAAATGTGTACTCCATTTTTGGGGGGTTTAGTGTTCTATAGATGTCTGTTAATTCCAAATGCTCTAGGTCCTTATTTAGAGCTTTAGTTTCTTTACTTATTTTTTGTCTTGTTGATCTATCCATTGTTGATAGTGGTGTACTGAAGTCTCCCACTACGTATGTGTTTTCTCTGATGTCTGTTTTCAGAGAGGACAACAGTTGTCTGATATATTTTGGTGCTCCTTCGTTTGGTGAGTATATGTTAATGAGTGTTATTTCTTCTTGAAGTATTGTCCCCTTGATCATAATGTAGTGACCATTGCGGTCTCTTTTTATTTTTTTGAGTTTGAAGTCTGTTTGATATAAGTATAGCTGTTCCTGCTTTCTTTTTTGGTCCATTTGCTTGTAGGATTGTTTTCCATCCTTTAACTTTGAGCCTATTTTTATCTTTTGTAGCTAAATATGTTTCCTGGAGACAGCAAAAGGTTGGGTTTTGTTTCTTAATCCAGGCTGCAACTCTGTGTCTTTTTATTGAAGAGTTTAGTCCATTTACATTTAGAGTTAATATTGATATGTTAGCATCTGTATTTGCCATTGTGTTTGTCTTTCCTTTGATTTTATTTATTTATTCTTTTAATAACTTTTTTTTTTTGGCCTTCTTTTGTTGTTATTCGTCCCTCTGAGGTTCTGGCTTTAGGATTCCTTGTAGTTTTTTTTGGAGTGGGGGTTTAGTCGTAATGAAATTCCAGAGTTTCTGTTTGTCTGGGAAGGTCCTTATTCTTTCTTCATAGAGGAAGGAGAGCTTTGCAGGATAGAGTATTCTTGGTTGGCATCTGTTTTCTTGGAGTCTGTTGACTATGTCCCTCCACTCTCTCCTTGCCCGTAGTGTTTCTTCAGAGAAGTCTGATGTCAGCCTGATTGGTTTTCCTTTGAATGTTATCTGTTTCTTCCCCCTTGTCAGCTTCATTATTTTTTCCTTGTCCTGAATTCTTGGGAGCTTTACTATTATGTGTCTTGCTGTATTTTTCCTTTCGTCATGGAAGTTTGGTGTTCTTCTTGCTTTTTGTATATCAATTTTCAGTTCCTTCTTCACATTTGGGAAGTTCTCTTCAATTATCTCCTGGAATATTTTCTCTGTTCCTACATCTCTCTCCTCTCCTTCTGGAATTCCTATAACTCTTATATTTCCTTTCCTCATGGAGTCAGATAGTTCTTGAAGTCTTTCTTCGTTCTTTTTCCTTTATACTTCTTTCCTTTTCTGTTTTGGTTCTTTTTATTTCTGTGTCTTCAAGAGTACTTATTCGTTCTTCCATTTCATCTATTCTGCTTTCATTGCTTTTCCCAGAGTTCTTTAGTTCCTCCATTAATTCTTTGATCTCCTGCGTTTCTTTAGCTTCGCTCTTTAGGGACTCAATTTCATTCTTCTGATAGTTGATTATTTTTCTCATATCATTGTTTTCCTTTATGACTTCTGTCACTTTTTTAATCATGGCAATTTTAAATTCTCTTTCTGGAAGGCTCAGAAGTTCTTCCAAGTTACTGTCGTTGTAATCTGGGGGGTGGTTTTCTTTTTGTGGTGTGCTTTTTTCCTGAGGAGTTGTTAGGTTGCGTGTGGTTCTTCTACTCCCTACTGTCTGTTTTCTAACTTGTCATATGCATTGGGACACTGTGTTGCTCGGACTGGCCGGCATCTTGGGTGAACTTCTCCACTCCCCTCTGGCTCCTCCAGGAGCCATCTCTGGCCTCTGAGGGAACTTTCTGCTGGTTTCAGGCAGTCTTTACTGAAGAAATGTCCCTGTTCTAAAATGGCGACGCAGGATGCAGTCCCTGCGCCTCCGGTCTCAGGCACACTCTTCTGTGCGCCCGGTCTGCCCCGGCGGTGGGTGCCTGCTCCCTCTGTGGGCTCAGACTGCTGGTCGGAAGGGGCCTGGCGTGGGCTAACTTCCCAGCTGGCCACTGGCTCCTCCGGGAGCCTTCTGCCCTTTTCAAGCAGACTTTTCTTAAGAAATTTCCCTGTTCTATGGGGTGTTAATGACTTTTTTTTTCTGGTCACTAGGTGGCACCAGAGATCTCTCCTATTGTCCTTGGGGTACTGTTTTTCACACACCCCCCCCCCCCCCGTGGGACAGGGAACAGAGCGGGAATGGCAGGGTAAACCTCAACGGCTTTGGGGTGCTGTGTCTGCCTTGTGCCCCACCGTCGTGCAGAACCCACGCCCCGAATTTCATGCCTGGGTCTCAGTTCCAAAGCCTCAGGTCCAGGACGTGGGCTGTAGCCCAGTTCAGTGGCGCGGGAATGGCGCCTTTTGCACCCAGCTCCCGTACCTGGGCGCCTGGTTCCTGCTTACTCAGTGAGGGACTTTCACCTCAGTGAGGGCCTCCGCGAGTCTCCCCACAAGCCTAGGTCGCAGGCGCGGGATCCTGGGCAGCCGTGATCCCGATCCGAGTTTGCTTTTCAAGCGCGCCAAGCACGCCTCTTTTCCGCACAAGCTTAACGGCTGGCCTGGGGCTGTGTGCAGGTCTCCAGAGTCTTTGCTGTTCTCTTGCTTGTCTTTTTAAACAACCAACTCAGTTTCATTTTTTCCAGTGTTTTTCTATTCTCTTTTTCATTTATTTCTGCTTGAATTTTTGTATTTCCTTCTGCAGTTTAACTTGTGCTTAGTTTGTTCATTTTATAGTTCCCTGAGGTATAAAGTTAAGTTGTTCGCTTGAGATCATTTTTATTTTGGTAAGTTGTATTTGAATTTTCATTTGTTTTTAGGTATTTCATAATTTCCTTGTTTATTTCTTCCTCGACCCAGTAGTTTGTTGAAAATTGTAAAGGAAGAAGTAAAATTGTCCCTGTTTGCCAATTACATGATCTTATATATAAAAACCCTATATACTCCATAAAGAACAATAGATCTATTAAATGAATTAGATAAAGTTGTAGGATATAAAACAAACATACAAAAATCAGTTGTATTTCTACACATGAATAATGAACAAGCTAAAAAAGAAATTAGAGAAAAAATACCATTTACAATAGCAATAAAATGAGTGAAATATTTGGAAATAATTAAGAAGTGAAATATTTACCCCCTAAAAACTATAAAACATTGATAATAGAAATTAAACAATACATGAACAGAAAGATATGCAATGTTGATGGACTGGAAAAATTAATATTGTTAAAATGTCCACGCTACTCAAAGTGATGTATGGTTTCAGTTCAATCCCTTTTAAAATTGTGATGACATTTTTTCATAGAAATGGAAAACTGTTTGAAGTAATCTACTAGAGCTGAGTAGACACATACCTTTTGTGATCCAGTAATCACTCCGCTGGGTAATTAATTATTCAAGAGAAATGTGGGTATATGTATACCAAGAGACACACAGGAAAGTTCAAAGGAAAGGTTTTTGTAATAATTCCAAGTGAGAAACAATCTGAATGGGTAAATTGTGTTTTATACCATGAATATCACACAGGCACAAAAATGAATGACCTATGGTAACGCACAATAGCATGGATTGATCTCATAGACATGAGCAGAGACAAAAAAAGGCCAGGTACAAATGAATGCCTACTACATGGTTCCTCTTACATAAATTTGGAAACATTGACAAATGTCAACAAGTGTTTCATAATTCACATTTAGTGAAAAAATTATAAAGAAAAGTGAGGGAGTAATTATCAGAAGAGTCTGAATAGTTGTCCCTTTGTAGGGAGCAGTAACTGTGAAGGAAAGGAAAGCAAGTAATAACTGGCATGCTGGCAGTGTTTTGCTTTTCACCTTTCAAAGTAGCAATAGGTATGTTCATTTCATGATAATTCACCGCCTGTATGTGTTTTGTTTTGTACAGTTGTTTATGTGCTGTATTTTTCAATAAAAGAGTAAAAGGTTGTTCTTTTTCTCCTATTGCATACCTGGTACAGCATAAACCCCAGGGGGTCCTCTGGCTTTTCATAGACTAAATTTTCGGTGATCTTCTGAGAGAAAGCATAAGGCATTGTATTATGGTTCTGATTTAAAGTTATGGATTCAGGTTCTAGTTGATGTGAACTTTTCACTAATCAGAAGTACACAGCATGTTAAAGAAATTCATCTTTTTCTAGAAAGTGCCCAATTACTTTCTTATTTTGATAAAATTAGACAAATCAAGGTAAAATTTGGAGAAATAATAATAATAATAATTAGCAGCGTTTATTTTTCTAGTTTTCAAGATCAAAGAGATAGTGAGAAAATTTTAAAGAAAGCTTTTGTTTTGAAAATTGTGATTTAATGAATTATTTGCTTTAAAAAATAGTCTTTCGAAAAAACTTAAAAACATGATTTTACATAAAACATATGATTTTCGTTTCTAAGGCATTTGATTCTAAACAGTGAAAATGCAGTTCAGTGTTTGTAGTAATAAAAACAAAAACATAATCTTCAGCCATACACCTCCATACTTTTTGTTGTTGCTGAAAAACCCCAAAATTATAACAAGTAAGCAGTATTCTCATTTGCAGGGAATAACAAAAGGGAGAATTTCAGGCAGAAGATATTTAGGTCTGTTTAATGCATCCATACTAATTATGAATTTCATATGTCTCCATTGAATACATATTTGATATTTACTTTTTCTTGTAACAATGGTGCACATGTAGCATTATTTTCTGACAGATGCAGAGAATTATCTATAGAGTGGTTACAATTCCTCAATAGTTTTCATCCTTCAGTTTAATAATCTGTAGTTCTTTGATTAAAGTCTGAAAACCAAATCATCAGCACTCTCCCACAAAAGGACATTTTAAGAAGGAAAATGCATAAAGCATGGTTCGTTAAGTGGGTATCAGTTACCCCTATTTTATGTACGAAAACTGACTCACAGAAGTAATTTTGCCCAAATCACAAAGAAGAGGCAAAGTTATGATTGGAATCTTGGACTTACACATCCCAAAATTTGGCTCTTTCCTCTTTATCCTATTTCTTTAAGTTTAACCTTATCCAGTGTAAGGTTATTGAGACAGGCCATTTTTGTCTTTTACCTTTCTAACCACAGTTACTTCATGTCTAATACATGTGACAACATAGTCATATGTGTGTACTGCTGGGTAATATCAACATAAAAATAAACCTGTCAGGCAAACAAACACAAAAATAAACCACCAAGCAACCAAAATTTTTAATAAATATGATAATCTCTTATAATTCTACATTGGCCAAGAAAGATCGTACCTTAAAGAAGGCTTCAGCACCATATTCCGAGGTCAATAAGATTTGTAATTTCAAGGATTACAAGCAACTTTTAACTATTTTATCCCTAAAGAATGTGGCTTATTAGATAGCCATAAGGTTGGTCTTTTTTGAAAGTATGTTTCTTCCTGGAAAGCCTTTCTCTCCTTTCAGTTTGCCACTAAGTTTTCCTCCCTTCCTAGTGTGGCCCCAACTTTAGCCCTATGCAAAGTTTTTCCCTGTCAATCATCTGACCTGATTTCAACAAGAAGGGCTTCATATTATTCACTGGGTGTTTCACATTTTCTACTTTTGGTTAATATAACTTAATGAATCTACAGTCTTCTCAATGAAATTATATCCCTTTCATAGCAAAAGTCCTTTCATGTAGATCTTAAAGTCAAGTCAAAGATTTTTTCCTATACTACAATTATGGTGAAAGTCACAATTTAAGAATAGGATTCAGAGATTTACCTGGAATATTTGTAGAATGTTGTGTTTCTCCATATATCGCAGTGAAACTTGATAAGGATCTTCATACACTATAGGAGGGAATCGCCTTGCAGTAGTGTGAGGGTACTCATGAAATCTCATTAGTTGCTGGTGTTCTGAAATATCACCCTGAAATGAAAATATATCCCCCAAGAGTCTTTAATTAATTGAAACTCCTAGAAATTTTTGTTGTTTTTGTTGCTGTTATTAGTAGAATCTCGTGTTGATGGGATCTCTACAATAGGAGTTGGAGAAAACACATAATTATGAAAGACCTAACTGATCCTCCAGGCAATATTATGTAACCTCACGTTCTGGAAGGTACATTTAGGCTTCTCTAATCTATTTCCAACCCTTTTCCCTTCACAGGGATTGCCAATTAACTCCAAATTCCTTTCCTTTGGCAGAAACCTAGAGATGGGAAAGCACTTATTGTGACAGAATTAACAGCAGAGCAGGGAGTTGAACCCAGGTCTCCTGACCTCTCCTAGTTCACTGTTTCTTCCTGAATGACTGTAGGGAAGTAGAGAAGGTAATTCATCTTTTTATTTCCCACTCTTTTCTGGCTTTCCTAAACTCTATGGGTCATACATAAGACAGCATATTGATTTGTTCCTCATTCTTGATCCAACATGTGTCTCCCTTCCCCCCTCCCTGCCCCATATACCACCACAGGCCCCTGACTTTGCCTCCAACCTCCCAGGTATCTATCATAATGCCCCTTTAAACCTACAGACTTGGTTTCTGTAGCTTCAGTTTTTTCTTGACTGGTGATATTGTCAAATTTGGTTGAGATGGTGGGGAATAGTTTGGAAAAGGCATGCTTTTTTACTTGGAAACCACTAGCAAGTCTGCTTTCAAATGACTCGAGTTTTTTCAAATCAGTTGTACTCTGAGTGTCACTTTCAGTTGAAACTGAAATGTTGGAATTTTTGAGGTTCATCTGACTAGTTTCCAATGTGCAGGACTCAATCTCTTCGACTTCCTCTGTGTCCCCAAAGTGAGTAGCAAATCTGTTGTCAAATTGACCATGTGCTCTATAGCCAGACACAATGTCTTCCATGTCATCATCCTCTTTGTCCATGAAGTGGTCATGCTCCTTGGATTCAGCGCCATGAGCTTCATCATCTGTGAGGTGGTCAGCACTGCCTTCAGCTTGATCTGCAGCCTGGTCTTCAGCTAGTAGGGTCACTTGCTCATCTTGCTCATGTACTTTGTGGTGAATCTTCACAGATACAGTTTGGTCATCTTGGTCAGGCAATCTATGGTCAGTCAGTTTAGAAGTTTTTTGTTGAACCAGACCAGGCAATCTGTGGTCAAACTGGTCAGAAAATCTTTGTTCAGAATGGTCGGACATCTGGTGGTCCCTTTGCTCAGCTGCTTCGTCACCCTGTTTGGAAGCTCTTCTTTGCACCATGGTTGCCGATCTGCGTTCAGTCTGTTCAGGTGAATTTTCTTCAAGCAGAGCAGACATCTGGCTGTCATTCTGTTCAGACTCCATGTAACCAGCTTGGCCAAATGCCTTTTCATGGCTCTGTTCAGACTGTCCTTGGTCAAGCTGATCAGATGCTCTCTGATTAGCAACAATAGCATCTTTGGGTGCGCTGAGGTCGACCTGAGCAGATGTTTCATGCAGAGTGTCATCAGCTTGGCCATCTGTGTTGGTCTGTGGTAACACTCTTTGGATAGCCTGGGCAGGTGTTCTGTCATGAGCCCTGTCCTCTACCTCCCCTTCGCCCTGGTCCTGCTGGTTGTCTTCCTGGCCATCTCTGTGGCTGTCCATGGGGGGCTTGTCTGTGTTTTCAGGTTCGAAGGATTCCTCCGGAGCCTCTTCTGGCCGCGCTTCCATTTTCTGCCTGGTCTCTGACCAGGTTGCCAGGTGCTGGGGCGGGGCTGGCTGGGTCGTCTAGGTGACCGTGGGGTAGTGCCCCACCACGCCCCCGAGCTTTGTTCCTGCTCGGTCCACCCCTCCTAGAGCTCTTCCTAGTTAGCAGCACCTGCCAGGTGGGAGCTGTGTGTTGCCCGCTGCTGCGTGGGAGGCGGGGGAGTGCGTGTATGTGGGAAGCGTCCAGCTTACCGCACATGTGGGAGCCAGCGCAGCGGCAGACACCCCTCTCTCGCACCGCTGCCCAGCAACCAGGCCTCGGTGCTAGGTGAGTCGGTGCCTTGGAGTGGTTCCCCTCTGGTTTTCTCTCGTGAAAAGAGGTGGTGTGAAATCGGATTGCTCAGGTAGTAGCAGCCCTTTAATCAGCAACAAAATATTAGCTGATGAACATGAGAGCAATGTATCTGAACAGAGCTTCCAGTTGCCTTCAATCACATTAAGTTTCCTGCTCATTGGACAGTAATCAGCTATGGTTTTCAACTTCAAAGGAGCCTTGGTCATATAAATTTGTTTTTCTGTGTATGTTAAAGTTAATCACTGTAAAAAAGTGAGAAAACACGTATTAAAAAAATTCCGAAACACCTGAGTTTATAACTTTTATTGACATTTTGATGTGTGTCTTTCTAGAATTCTTCCCATGCAATGAAAATCTATACATCTAATATCTATAGGTGTGTGTATATATTACAAGAGGGAATCAAATTTTGCAATTGTTCTACAAACTGCATTTTTATTTGACTTTATGGTATAAATATTCTTCCTTGTCAAAAAGGTAATCTAAATTAAAGATTACTGGCTTTTGGAGTCAGATTAAGTTTCTTCTAATTCTGTATCTGCCACTTAAATGATTGTTGAGCCTGGGCATATCTTATTTCTGTGAACCTCAATTTTCTTATCTGCATATGAAAGTACAATGATATAATAACTCTCATAGTTTTTGTGACAGCTAAACGAGATAATACATATAATTAGCTCATATGTGCTTCATAAAGAGCAGCTATTTTAAAATTTGTATGTCATCTATTATATGGATTTATTTTGTTGCTTTTAACAGTGCTGCATTGACCATCATTGAGCAAACATTTTATACTTGTCATATTTTTTTCCTTAACATAAAATTTTAGTTGTGAAACTGTTTGGTTAAGAAGATACACTTATTTTTGGTCTTCTGAAAGTTCTATATTTAAAAATGTCCCCCAGAGAATTTGAGCCAATCTACAGCTTCACTGGTAACACATGGGAGTGGTAGTTCCAAGTGCCAGTACCAATTCTATATATTTTTTTTTTCATTTGTGCTCATCTGAAAAGTGAAAAAATAGTATTTTCTCTTAATTTATATTTGTTTTATGTGTTTAATATCAAGATTGCATTTATATTTCCTTTATTGGTAAGTGTCCTGGTTCTATCCTTGTCCTTATAGTTGTAAGAGTATCTTATACATTGAGATGTTTCATTCTTTGTTCTATAATTATAATCAAGTTTCTTGGTATGTTTGTCATGTGGAAGTTTTATATTTTCTGATTTTATGAAGTTAAATTCATTTTTCCCTTTGCAGTATTTATCTTTGGAGTCACATTTATGAAGACGTTTCCTATCTGTTAAAATTATATAAAAGTTCCTCATCTAAATTTTTCTTTTAGTATTTTCAGTATGTATTTGTTTTCTTTCAGAATTGAGTACACAAAACATGCAAATGCATCTTGATTAATTTTTACATTTCTACATATTTAAAATGCTCAGATCAAGATTTACAATGCTTCTAGCACTCAATCAGTTTCCTCTGTCTCCATCCTATGAATACCTCTCTTGAAATAAATTCTATTCTTTTTTTTTAAAGATTTATTTATTTATGCATACAAGAGCTGGGGTACAGGCCAGAGGTGCAGGGGGTGAGAGGATTCACCAGAGACAGAGTGGGGAGCGGAACAGGCAGACTGACTGAAATATACTGCTGAGGGGAGCAGCGGGCAAGACAGGAGAGGTCTGCTGCACATGTGGGTTGCTCCCTGGCCAGCTGGGGATTGAACTTGTGCTGGAGAGGCTGTGGATTGCTTCATAATGTGGTGCTTAACCCCTTGTGCCACCAGGGTGGCCCTAAATTCTATTCTGATCTTTGTTTTAATAACTTAGTTTTTTTAGGTTTTGAACATCTGTTCTGGTTTCTTTTTTTCAACATTATGTCTGTGAAATCTAATATATAGCAGTTGATAATTATTTTTCACTGTTGTGAGTATTCCATGAATATGCCACATATTATCAATTATGATAGTAATTAACTTTAGATTGTTTAGAGCTTGGAACTATTCAGAACTTTTTTATATACAGGCCTCCCTGGTGGCACAAGGGGTTAAGTCTCAGCAGCATGAAGCAGTCCACAGCCACTGCAGCACGAGTTCAATCCCCTGCCAGGGAGCTGACCCACATGCCGCAGCAGACCTCTCCTGAATCGCCCGCTGCTCCCCTCAGCAGTGTATTTCAGTCAATCAACCAGTTATGCTCTCCACTCTGTCTCTGGTGAATCCTTTCACCGTACCCCCAACCCTCACCCCGCCTCACTTCCTGCACTTCTGGCCTACACCTGACCTCTTGAATGCATAAATATATAAATCTTAAAAAAAAGAAATTTTTTTAATATGTATCTTTCTGTGGACTTTAAGTGCTCATTTCTATTGGTACATATGAGTGTGGAGTTCTAACTAGGAAGATAGATTCATTCCTGTTTTCGATAAAAATTGTGATAGTTTTCCCAAATGAAGCTACCAACTTACACTCATACCAGCAAGGTATGAAAGAATTCATATTGATCCACATGCATGCGTTTTACTGTTGGCTGTTCTGGTGTAGTGGTTCTCACTGGGGTTTTCATTTGTATTTCCTTTATGTCTAATGATATTTAACATCTTTATAGATTCCTAGAACTAGCTATATGGATATCCTTTTTATGAAGTGTCTGTTCACATCTTTTGTCCATTTTTATATTGATTTATTTGTCCTTTTCTTATTGATTGATAGCCTTCTTTATGTAACATGCTTGTTTGTGTGTGTGTATTTTTTGAACATATAAAGCTTTATTTTCTATATTTTATTTTACTATATGGTGTGAGATAGGACTCTAACCAAATCTTATTTTTAAATGATGTGCTAGATATTCCAGGGCCATTTTTTAAAAAAATCAGATATTTCCACTTATTTAAAATACTAGTTTTTTCTTTTTTTTTAAATATTAGTTTTTTCATATACATGCTCTAATATATAACTTGTATCTACTTCTGGACTTTTACTCCTGTTTCATCAAGAAAAAAATTATCTGTTGTGGTATCCCTGCTACATGTTTTTTATATTGTTATGGATTTGTACTCTTTTAATATTGTACAGAACACATTCTTTTGTTAGTTTTCTTTAACAGTAATTTATGACTAGTTCACATTTTTGTTGTTCCAACTGAACTTTAGGACAATTCTGTCTAATAATTCCAAGCAACAAAATATCAACAAAAATCCTGTTGGATTGTGATTGGAATTATTTTAATTTAAATATTAATTTCAGAAAAATCTTCCTGGCAGAGGACATGTCACTCTGGCTTACTGATGTTGTTCTCTTGGCTCATGTTATAAACTGAATTGTGTTCTCCCCAAACTTTCATGCTGAATCCCTAGTCACCCAAGTGACTATATTTGGATATAGGGTCTTTTGAAAGGCAGTTAAGAGTTATTTGAGATCATAAGGGTGGGGCCCTAATCCAAGAGGAGTTATGTCCTTATAAGAAGAGGAATTGAGACCAGGGATGAGTGCACACATGTTACCGAGCAGAGAGAGGGCCACCCCCAGTTCCCCCAAACCTGCCTGCTCTAAATAGGTTCTGCCATCTGCCACATCAAGACAAAACATACTCTAGTGCATAAGACCTTTAATGGAAAGGAACTTTAATACCATTAGTGTGCAATAAAGAGAAGGGAAAGAATAGATAAAATAGTTTCAAATCAAGCACCCAAAGCTACCCATCCCCTCATGGGTAAATGCCCAGCCAAACAGGGTTGGACCAAAGCAGGGCCACTGAGTCCTGAAAGCCTGCCACAGGTCCAAGGCACCTCCTGGTGGGGACCCATGCGAAGGGGGCAGAAGGGGCCAGATAAGTCTGGAAGGAAAATAGCAAAATCAAAATCAAGATTAACTGCATTGTTAACCTCCCCACGGGTCTCTCACCCATGTCTGTTTCAAATGTTTTCTTCCATGTCCCCCGGGTGCCTGGTACAAGTCCAAGGCTGAGAAGCAAGTGCAGCTTCTTCACATATCTCTCTGCTCCATGCCTCCTCCAGGTCCCTTTTTTGTTCTCCATCCTGTCATTCTATCTCCCAGTCTCCTGTCTAGCTTCTCCTACTCCCTGCTCAGCAGTTCCTTGGGTGGGGCAGGGAATGTGGGACATCCCCTTTTCCTGGGAACCCCCTGTTACACACAGAGAAAAGACTAGAGTCAACACAGGCAGAAGAAGGCCATCTGCAAGCCAAGGAGAAAGGTCTTAGCAGAAACCTAACCTGCTGACACTTTGATTTGGATTTCTAGCTATGGAACTAAATTTTTGTTGTTTTATTTCTTAAATATCCTTGTTTGTTTCTTCACAGTCTAGGATTTCTCCCCTCAGGTATGGTCACCATAGTTTGCCCACAGTCCACAACCACACACCACCCTCTCCTCCCCTCCTCTTGTCCCTATCTCTTTCCCTGTGCCTCTCCCCTCCTAAGTGTCTCAGGTCATGTCTGCTTGCAAGGGTCAGTCTTACAGTTTGTCTTTGTCTGATTCTTTTGTTTGGTTTCTCTGGATTCCACATATAAATGAAACCATCTGGTATTTATCTTTCTCCTTCTGGCTCTCTTCCCTTAGAAGAATCCCTTCCAGTTCCCTCCATCACATCTCTCTATCTGTTTCATGGTTTTAGTGTTATATATTTCTGCTAATTTTTATTATTTTTCTTTTACTTACTTTAGATTTATTTTTTGCTGCTTTTTCAAAGTTTCACATACTTAGTTCCACAGCAGAGAGAGGAAGAGAAAAAAGAGGCAGAGGATTATGGTAGAAATATTTCCTAATATAGACTGTTGAAAGTATGATCATTTTATGTGGCTTGATATATGTTTATAGTTATTTGAATAAATATGAGTTGATTCTTTACTTTCTCCTAGAGAGAGATCTGGAAAGCTTGTTGTTTGTACTTTAAGAGAAACATAAAATGAAAGGAGAATAGTTGAATTTTTTTGGATTAGAAAAAGGAACTATAAGCTAAACTGAGAGACCTTTTCTGTTGTGGTAGGCTGTAAGAGCCTAGGTTAGCAAAGAATTGGACATGGATACTGGGATTATTCATCCAGAATGAGGAAGAAAGCCGATAATGTCATCCTTCATGTGAAAAGGCTCAATATATCAGTCATTTCCTGTTATGCAAAGAGCTTGTAACATTTAAATCCTTGCTGATTATGACAGAGGAGCCATAAGATACTAAGGAAGATTGGATGAGTGTGCTTTTGTTTTGATAACTTGCTGAAATTGATGTAGGTAACTTACTAGAAGGAGTAATAGAGGAGAGAAGGGATGTCAGAGCTCCTGGATGGTAGCAGTGTGATAAGAATTAGCATCCTTCCTTTTACTTTGATTTATATTGGGAAAACTACAGATGATCTCATGAAAAACTAAATTGTGTAAGGTTGGGTATAATCTGTTTTTTTTTCTTTTCTTTTTTTTTCTTTAGGTTTCTGTGTGATTAAGTGGTCTACTGTAATGGTTTCCATCATAATATTTTGGACTCATCTTATGTATCTAAAGGGCAGTTTAGAGCATCTATAAAAGCAACTATTTTTAAATTTTAAAGTATATAAATTATCTATTATAATTTTATCACAGCATAGAATTGGCCTTTCTCATTTTCCTCACCTCAGGTAAGAAAAGGAGATGTCTCAAGTAAGAGGACTTTTGCTCTGGTGGGACTACTTTTCTAATACTGGTGAGTGACCAGGCATTGATAAAGTTATCTCTGATTACCTAATGAACAGGACTTCTAATGTTACTGACCTCTTTTCATGCTTATGGGGAAAACTCTATTCCTTAATCCTGGAAAAATAATTTTTTATTTCAAAAAATATTTATTGTGCCTTCACTGTGTGTCAGGCAAAGTGGATACAGTAGAAAACAATACAGATAGTTTCTCACCACAGACAGCTCATATTCTAGAAGGGATCTCTGGTAAGAATACAAGTAATGGTAATACACTGTATTAAGAACTATGACAGGAGAAATACAAACAGCCATTTTTGCATACAGATGAGGCACTCAACCCAAAGTTGGTGGGCAAGAAGTAGCATAATGTACAATCAGATTGTTGTAGCATATTTGATGTGCTGGAATCTAGATGCAGCTCCAGCATTTACTAGTATTGATACTGTGGACAAATTTATTAAACTTTGTCACCTTCAGTTTCCTCATATTTAAAATGCAGGCAATCTGGGCCTCCCTGGTGGCGCAGCGGTTGAGCGCTGGGTTGCGAAGCTGCCCGCGGCCTCTGCGGCGCCGGTTCGATCCCCGGCTGCTCCCCAGCCACCGGAGGAGAATCCCACATGGTGCGCAGACCTCTCCTGCCACCCGCTGCTCCCCTCAGCAGTGTACTTCAGTCCTTCTGCCTGCTCTGCTCCCCACTCTGGCTCTGGTGAATTCTCTCACCCTCCCGCGCTTCTGACTGTACCCAGTGCATGTATAAACAAAACAAACAAACAAATATAATAAATAAATAAAAACATGCCTCTAAAAAAATAAAATAAAAAAAAAAAAAAAAAAAAAATAAAATGCAGGCAATCATAGTATTTACCTAATTGGTTTTCCATGAAAATAACTGAATTAACATGAGTAAATTGCTCAGATAGTGCCTTAATAAACAACAGAATGATAATTCCTTATTATTTTGAGAATTGAAGAGTTATTAAAAATTAAGAAGTAAATGAGTGGTCAATATCAGAAGAATATTCCAGGCACAGAGAAGCACATATGGTATGCCTAGAGGCAAACCAAATCATGGAGAGTTATTCAAACTAGAAGAAATTCAATGTGCTGTAATACTGACTATGAGAAGCATAGAGAAAAGTAGATGAGGCAGGTAGGGGCCATATCATAGAGATATTTGGTCTTACTACCAAGAGTATGTAGTTATTAAAGAGTTTCTCACAGAATACTGACTTGATAAGGTCTGCATTTTAGGTCACTCTGGTTGTATTTGAAAAAACAGTTTGAAGAATAAGGTTGGAGGTAGGGAGACTAATAAAACCCTATCATAGAGACTTCTATTTATTAAATGGTCAAGTAAAGATGGCAACTACAATCCAATCTTCTGTCAGAAAACAATGCAAAAATTCATCCATTTCCATCTCTTTGTTTATGTCAACATATTTTCCAGCCACAAAAACAAACAAAAAAAAATCCCACCAAAACAAAATTTTGTGACTTTCTAGAATGGATTGTGAGATGCTCATTCTCATTAATTTCTGTCACAATCTTTAAGGCAAAGAATGTTAAGAAGTCAACTTGCTGTAAAGGTTTCTATGTACCTACTCTTTGGATCATCCTCCCTAAAGGAAAGGGTTAACTAGAAACCATTTGTTCATGTTCTCTGATTCTCTCTGGGTTTTGATTCCACTATACAAAGAAGAAATTGAAGTTGGGAAGAATAAAAGGCAAGAAGCAATCAAGAAGGGACAGGGGACGGTCTGTGGAATAGCCAGTCTTAGTGCTTTTCAAGCAATTCTTGTTCTTTTGAAATAAAGGAAAATTGAAGACATGGTTATGAATATAAGACAAGTCAGTGACAATGCAATGACAATCTTACCATTGTGCTCATAGAAAGAATCTCCTGGTACCTAAGCTGGATAAAATCAGCCAGTGGTGGACATCCTGGATCAGACACTATTGTGGGGAAGTCTATCCAAGAACACAGACTGCAGCAGACGTGGGAAACCCATACTGCTTGCAGAAAATAGAGTGTTAGAAAGGGTAGGGTGGAACCGATTGCACTTCATGCCCTTGAGTTTAAAAGAAAAGCAAGAGCACACAGTGGGAAGGGGTTTTGACATCAGCACTGTCAAGAGGCCATCTTTGCATTTATGGGAGCCAATGAAAAGGGTGCTTTTTGACCCAAAACAATTGGAAAAGAATATTCTAAGGAAAAAGATGCCAGTAAAGTGTCTCGGAAGGAATTGTTACATACACTTAGAGGCAGCCACCACCATAGTGGTTAATACCAAGGGCTTTGAAGGCACATTTAAGTTCAGATCTCACTCTTGAAATTTATTATCTATATAAAGTTGGGTAAACTACTTAGACCGCATAAACCACTGCTTCCTCTTTTTTACAAATGGGAATAGCAGTCCTTATCGCATTGAGTTGTTGACCTGATTAAACAGGATAATAAATGGCAAGCTGTGCTCACTTGGTGTGCGGGGCCTGTCTTGCACAAGTCACGGTAAGGGCTGAGAGACTACAGTGATGTTGGCCATGTGCCATCTTGGGGAAAGTTAAACTCTCAATCTTCTTATACTTGATTTGAAAAGGAGGTTTTCTTTCCTAATTTATTCTGACCTGAAGAATTGCACTCTTTGATGTAGACAAAGAGTTACTTAGGGATTTCTAATATGTCACCTTGATTTTACTGTTTACATGGATGAAAAGTGATTTTCATCAATGTTATTTTTGATATACACGATTTGTCAACATTTAATAAAAAAGACTTCTTTTGACCAAGACAACTGTCAGTTCAGTCAAACAACACATTTGGCAGATCCTCCCCTCCCTCAAATAAAATGACAGGCTGTTTGCCAACTTCATCTAATTGAGTAGTTATTTTTGGTTGCTTGTTGACACAACTGAAGTTATTTATTTACTTTTTGTTATTTGCATGGAAAAATGTACTGAATCCGAAGAAACTAGGTGATCCTGGTGAATTTAAGCCATTGGTTTGGTGTTTGCTTTTTAACTTGGTCCTTTAAGGGTTTAAGATCCAAGGAAGGTAGGGAGGACCTAGAAAAAGAGATTGAAAAATGGGGCCTCCCCCATGGTGCAGCAGGTTGAGTGTAGTGCTGTGAAGCTGTCCGAAGCCTCTGCAGCACAGGTTTGATCCCGGCCGGCTGGGGAGATAACATGGTGCGGCAGACTTCTCCTGTCTTGCCCGCTGCTCCCCTCAGCAGCGTATTTCAGTCATTCTGCCTGTTCTGCTCCCCACCCTGTCTCTGGTGAATCCTCTCACACCACCCCTGCACCTCTGGCCTGTACCCCAGTTCTTGTATGCATAAATAAATAAATCTTTAAAAAAGAAAAGAAAGAAAAATGATTCCTGAATGGATACTTATGTATTGTGCTCAGGGTTGGGGGTTTTAGAGTGGAAGGGCTGAGCAGCTTTAAAATAACTGCGAGCTTGGCCCCGAGCACCCATTTCCAGAATATGGGCAACTTGTGGTTGTTGTAAGGAAGCCCTGCTTTACTCAGATTTCTGTATTCACTGTTCTTTTTCCATCAGTGTAGTAAAAATAGAATTTTTTTTGGCTTCTCAACATTTATTGAGAAGTAACTCTCAACTCTTTTGAGAAGTAACTCCTTAATTTCCTTTTAGGGAATAATTTGTCTCTAGCACAGTTAGGCTTGCTTTGTGGTCTTAAATCAGGTTATCCTTCTCTGGTCTTCCCCTGGTCAAAAGTGAGTCCTTGCTCTTCTGGGGTTAGGAATCTTTAGCATAAACTGGGCATAAAATGTATGTGGAACTCATTGATTATAGTGGAGGAGCTACCAGAAAATGAGTATTTTCTGCTATCCAGACCTCCTGCTCCTGCCCTGCTTTCTGTATTTTTTAAAGCTTGCTTTACTAGTATTGCCATCAATTCCCTAGTCCTAACCCCTTCCTCATATTTTTTTCTAATGCATTCCTTCTCTTACTAAGTTAGCCAGATTATTTTTTTTACTTGCAAATAAAGATAGACTTTTTTTGTTTGTTGCCCAGCCAACAGAATTCTCCTCTCAATGTTCTAAAAAAAGAAGAAAAAGGTAGGGCCTCCCCTAGTGGCGCAGCGGTTGAGAGCTGGGCTGAGAAGCTGCCTGCAGCCTCTGCAGTGCTGGTTCGATCCCTGGCTGCTGGCGAGGGTCCCACATGGTGCGACAGACCTCTCCTGCCATGCAAGTTGCTCCCCTCAGCAGTGTATTTCTTCGTCAGTCTGCCTGTTCTGTTCCCCACTTTGGCTCTGGTGAGTTCTCTCACCCTCCCGCGCTTCTGACTGTACCCAGTGCTTGTATAAATAAATAAATAAATCTTTGAAAAAAAAAATAGTAAAGATATGGAAGACTTAAACACCATTAATTCTAAAAAAAAATAAAGAAGAAGAAGAAGAAGAAAGTGAATCCACGCAATGAAATCCAAGAAGGAGAAAACAAACCTGGATAAGAACAAAATAAAAAAAGAAATGCAAATTCAGTACTTGAAAAAAAAATTAGATGAAATCTATAACTCTGAGCCACAATATGTGAAATAGAGTTACTGAGAGTATTTATGGTCAAAGGAGTACAAGTAGGTACAGAGAGACATTTTTATATCTGTATATTTTAGGCAAACCTGGAAGAAAAGAGTTCTCCAGAAGAGATGCTGTAACTCAGGGAGGAGGGAAACCCACATTTTAAAATTTGGAATAATGGGAATGTGCCAGTGTGAGCATCCGTAGACCTATGTAATAATGGTGAGAAGCAGGATCAGTAGAAGTGACTTAAAGGAGAGTTAACACTGACAAACCTTATCTGAATTTTATATTTTATTGATGAGATAGGGTGGAGAAGAGAGAGTCAGCGCTGCACGCAGCCTTAAAGCAAGTAACCTTTGTTGACTGGGGAGAAATAAAAGCACAGAAAATGTAGTCACATAATCCTGTGTCATAAGGGACATCTCTGTGAACCTGGAAAAATTTTCTGCTAATCTAGAGCATG